GGTGACTTGGTCGATTCTTGGCAGAAAGTTTGCCTCTGTTTCACCGTCTACTATCTCCTACAGCTTTCACAATCTGAAATGATTTTTCTAGTAAGCGAATTCCGACCCCCACGGCCTGTACGGTTTTACAGACGTAGACTGAGGACCCCCAGGAGGCCCGTAGTTTGCTGATGATAATCCACCATATGATCCTATATACTGGCTCACTTGCATTTGACCTAACGTTGGTACCATGGATGAACTATTTGGATTAATGGATGGCGATATGGCCGAGGAAGAAAGGGATGGGGCATGGTTAGGAGGCACGCGTGTCATGTGAGGACCTGAATGAGCCCCTAATGATAAAGCACTTGTATCACTGGAGTAGGTATGATTAAACCTTGTGTCCATGTTCGTGTAAGAAACGTTTGAAGAGTCCATAGCAGAGATGTTTGATGATGTTATACTCGAAGCACAAGGTGGCGCTACAGGAGGTGGGGGATGTTGAGGCGTGGGGGGTGGAACAGAGCTAAATGGTGCAGATGGGTTCCATGGGTTGTGCGATGCTGATGGCTTCATTACAAGTTCTCGTTGAGCAGCGTAACATTGGAGATGACTCATCAGTCGCAAGCGAAGTGGGTCTTGAAGATCCATTCCTTCAATCGCCACCAGGTAGCGTGCTACCTCTGTGGCACATTCTCGAAAACCTAAACTGTGGTAGTCTGCTGCATATTTGTGTGGATCGAAAGAAAAGGCGTCAAATCCTAAATGAAAAACAAAGACATATTCAATGATCAGTTTATTATTTAGTAGCTGGATCTAGCAAATTTAAATAGCACTTTGATTAAAACTGATAAAACCTATTAATAAATAACTTATTCTACGTGCACAGTTCGTTAACTATAACATTTAGATTCTCATAGAAGCACGTATTAATTTGTTGAAAAGCAATAACTGATATTTCTTAACGATGTTGTCCCCCGGTGGGTCAGGGGTAAGTTTACGAACTTACAACCCTAAACAATCCAGGGTTTCATTCTCCGTGGTGAACACAGCAGATAATTTAATATCATTACGACTTTGTGCTAAAACAAACACATTTAACGATATTCACATTAAGACGTTTTCATTCATGTCTGTCCCCTGGCGGGTCAGGGGTAAGTTTACGGAATTACAATGCTAAAATATGGGGTTCGATTCCCCACAGTGAACAGAAAGCAGATAAGCAATTGTGTAACTTTGTAGAAAAGCAAACAAACAAGACAATTTCTTACCTGTGGAGTTAGAAAAATCATTTAAATGAGAACGCCCCCTAGTGGCACAGCGGTATCTCTGCAGACTTATACCGCTAGAAACCTGGTTTTGACGCCCTTTGTGTAGCTTTGTGCTTAATAACAAACAAACAAACAAAAAAAAGAAAGCGTACATTAAAAAAATTAATTAATTTGGAATTATTTACAATCTAAATATGATCACCTTTAAATTAGAGTCGTTGGTAAGGCATGGAATTTTAACTATTTAAGTTGACTTAATCTTCTTCGCGCCACGTGACACGTGAGGCCTCCGTAAACTCTCGCCAGCGCACTCTATCTTGGGCACTCATTTGAACCTGTCTCCGGAACAACTTTGCCTGTTCGGCTTCGGTTGATCTTCTCCATGTTTGTTTTTGGTTTTCCCCTGCAGAAGTCCAGAACAAAGCCTCTTGTTTGATGCTGTCCCGTTAGCAAATGGCCTATCCACACCCATTTCTTTCCCTGATCTCTATCATGATGTCTTTCTTTACTGTTTATCTTTTTTCTCACTTCTTCGTGATCCGTCGTACTCTAAGAATTATCTTAAAGCATCTGTTGATGAACACGTGAAGCAGTCTGATTCATAGAGAAATGCCCGGTGGTTAGGGCGCTCGACTCGCAAGCTGAGGGTCTCGGGTTCGAATCCCAGTCCCACCAAACGTGAGGGCGTTATAATGTGACGTATGTACAAATATATGTAGTGAAGATTACCACTCCAAAGATTGTTCTATAATATTCCTCAATGCAACAATTTGATCATTAAAAGATCTTTACTGTCCCTGTGTTGTTCTTTAACTTTTTTTTCTTGTAACGTTACAGTAGCATAAAGAAAACAGCATTAAAGATAGATAATCACGTAGAAAAAAAACTTGGGTACTGCTTGTTGTTGTTGTGCGCAAAGCTAAACAAAGGGTTATCTGCTCTTTGCCCACAGCGGAAGATTCAGCCTCCAGTACTGAGCGACACCTAGATATACTATATATATATATATATATATCATACGATAAATTATAATATTTTGAGAAAGGATATTTGAATCCGAAAAAAATAAAGTTTACCTTTGGCGTGGAGCATCTTCAAGTGGTCTACTGTCATTTGTAATATCTCTGCTTTTTCTAATTTCGCTGAGCCCTGTAATATTAAAATCAAAACTAAAACATAAAAAAATCTGCAGATATTAACAACCATCTTTATATTTTATGAAAGATAAACAATCTTCTTATAAAATTTAGTAACTTTATATCATTCCTTTGACAGTTTTAAGTATATATTCTAAAAAAAACATTACTCAAAACCACGAAAACAAGGCTGAGAAAGGGATTGTTCCTTTGAGGCATTA